TAAATTGGATTTGTTTTTTACTAGTGACTCATCTGTACTACTTTCGCTATTGTTAAATATTTCTCTTAGTCTCAGTTTGCGTTCAAATTCCTTAATGTCTTTTTTTGTGTGTGTGTGTGTGTGTGTGTGTGTGTGTGTGCGTGTGTACTGGTTCCATGTAGCTTTGGAAATATGTGTGTATATGTGTGTGTGTACTGATTACTTGTGGTGGGATAGTGTGTATGTGCGTATGTGTGTGTATGCGTGTATAGGTACAAATAAGTTTACGAATTCCTCGTAGTAAGACAATATGTATGGAGGGGAAATATACGCACGCATATATACACGCATGCTGACAGGAACATACCAAAATAGAAACAGATCCAAGAGCACATAGGGGTCACTAAAACATTAAAAGATTAAATGCCGATAACTACTCGCTGGACAAACCTTAATTGTTTTATGACCCTTCGCGCAGAACTCTTCATTGACAATTCTAGAAAGAAAATTCGGATTGCCAACACACAAACAGAGAATGTCTCATATCGAGAACATTTCACATTGAACACGAAGAAAAATTAATTATTTTTAATAATATGTAGAAATCTCCATTTTTACCTGAAGACGGTCGCGAGACCAGAAACACGTGTCGTAGTAAAATTATGTAAAACAAAGCATAATATTTTTTTTCTAAATAAATCCACATTACAACCAAAAACGCAAATGGCACCTCTCTTCTTTTTATATATATATATATATATATATATATATATATATATATATATATATATATATATAATAAAAAATATATATATAAATAAATATAAAAAAGATAAAAAAATTAATTCATCGAGTCTGATAGAAACCTCAACAGAATGCACTCGACGGCTGTTTCGTCCTATATTTGGGACTCATCAGCAGTGTGCATCCATTACCGACAGTTAGGTTGTCAAGCGAACATCATACCAACTGTTCCAAAATGAGCCTCAGTGACGAAGTGATTCCAAATCAGACTCAACTTAGCGCCGCTCGCTCACATATTCAACTGAGTTCTCTGTAACCATAGGACTGTGCCCCCTGGAGCCACGACTACTCTCACCAAGCCGCTCCCTCCAGAGCATTAGAAGCCGGTTCAAGCGATGATAAACACAGATAGTAATTAGTACGAGGATTTGATAATTATATTTAATTAAGTCATCAGCAGTGCGCATCCACTACCGAGAATTGAAACCCTGACAGTTAGGTTGTTAAGCGAACATCATGCCAACTGTTCCAAGAGATTCCAAATCAGACTCAAATTAATTAAATATAATTATCAAATCCTCCTACTTCATTCGGCGAGGTCTAGTAAAGAATAAAGTTTATGAGAAAAATCCCCCACACAGTAGACGAGTTCATCAAGGAAGCATTTATTGACATTGATCGGATTTGTGTCGCACTGTGTGTCACAGTGTTCAAGAGACGTTCGGTATATGCTGCAAAGTTGAAGGAGGACATTTCGAGCAATTGACAATTTAAACAGTATTAAACAAATGGAAATGTAATAAATAAATGTAGTATAATAAAATGTAAAAAAAAACAAAGACCTATCAAGTGTAGACCAACTGTTGGTCCAAGTGATATAATTTTTACTATAAATTTTAATATGACAAAATTATGATTAAATTCTTCTCACGTCAAAATATCCACTTTTAGCTTTGATTACTGCAACATAATTTGATAATTGATGCCATTCTTTTTTCAGTCACTCTTCATCCGATGCTAATTCTGGGTGTGTCTTCAAACATTTGAACTGTAGTGCAGATATATATATATATATATATATATATATGTTAAGAAATGGACGAGGTCCGACAATTTATTTATTAAAGACATTTTTATTTATGTTTAACGTTGTTATTTTATAGATACAATATTTAAGCAAATGCTCTGTTTATGATAAACAGTATTAAACTATTTACCGGCCTGAATGTTCGAGAAATTTTCATAGAAAATATTCGTTCATAGACAGGATTCGAACCTGCATCCTATACGGAACCGTCATATACGCTGACGTGCCTTAACCACTCGGCCACCATGAACCTTATGGTAGACAAGGTCGAATTTACTGTTATAAACTACAATCTTCCATGAATCTCGTACATTCATAACTGCTCTGGCGTATCGAATGTAAACAAATGACGTCATATGTTAAGAAATATATATATATATAACTAGACTCGTTTCGAAAAACCCTCGAATAAGGTATAAGGTTTAGGTGAAACCTAGGTAGGTTTGTCTGGCTTACTAGGTGAATATATATATATATATGTGTGTGTGTGTGTATTTAGACAGCATATCATCAGTCAAGCATATTTGCCTGAATAAACTAGATAATATATGTCTATTTATTTTTAATTTCATCCTCTCAAATTCACGGATCAGTTTCTTTATGTTGTTATTACACTGGTTAAAGAAAACGCCGTAATTTTCGTTATTTCTTCTACTTTTCCAAACAATTTCAATCTCATCCAAGATTATCTTCAGGGGTGACTTTCTATGACAAAAATTAATGTAATTTGTAGCTGTGATTTTTTTGTAAATGTGCATGAAACGCACTTCTTTATAGTCATTTTAAAAATTTACGTTAAGAATATATATATATATATATGAAGAAATACACTCTTAAGGTATGCTATCCGATAAAGTGCTCAATATGAGAGATAGAGCGTGTGTAAATATATATATATATATATATATATATATATATATACCACGAAATATTGTAGGACCCTTGAACTGAAGATCTTATTCAGGTGTGAAACGGATAGTTACCAAGCTGTGATGATTATGATTATCTACACTATATTAGGTACCGCCAATAATTTGCTGAAAAAAGAACATATCATGATGAAAAATGCCCCAAACTTAAAAACAATACCTTATCGTTAAAAAAATATTTATACTTTTATTAAACAGAAAGAACAAACCATTTTTTTAAAATTATTTTTTGAATATTTTTACTCATTTCTAACAGGTTCGAATTTTTTCAGCGGTGTAACAGAGATGGTAATCGACATTTTCACACCTGTTTTCCAATAAAATAACACATTAATTTGGAAAATCTTGCAAAAATGAAATAATTGTCAATTTTAATGAAACTGTCAAGACTTATTCACAAATGAATGAATTTATTTTTGCAATTTTTATATTTAGAAAATCTTGGTAAAAATATTAGTTTTTTTTTTTTACATCAGTTAACCCCCCAGACACACTTAATTTCCTAAAATGTCTAGAAATTACAATCGTCAACCAAATGTTTTTGAGTTAAAAGCAGGACTCCAAACCTTAAAATAAAAACTGCAATGAAACTATCTAATTAATTAATTAGATAAGCTTTTATTTCCTTCTTATAAATAATATATATGAAGGACATTATATTCTGAAGAAAAAAATCAATTACTTTTTACACGAATTGTTTGCAATTATTCTTTTTTAATTATAATAAATTATAAATTTTCAAAAATATTTAAAAATACTTCCAAACGTCATGAAAGTTAGGTTATTAAAATATTAAGTGAAGACTGTATTTACATATCATCGCATCAAAAATTTGGAAAAATAGTTTTAAAAATTCTTGTATGTTTAAAAGTTCTTTTTTTAAATATGGTATTCCATACATGGCATTATCTTTAAAATGCCACGTGTTTCAAGGATTGTTTCCCTTACGGAAAATTCCGCTCATATAAATCATCGGCTGTGGACAATGTTTTTCATTTCACTTCAGAGGACGTTTGAAGAGGCAACAGAAGAGAAAAGCTTTCCCTTTTCAGGGCCCCAAAATATTTTCCCTTTTCAGGGACCCAAAATATTTTCCCTTTTCAGGGCCGCAAAATATTCTGAAAAGTCTTATAACTGTGATACATGGTAGCAATTTGATTTCATATAACATTTTTTGAGGTATTGAATTATGTCTAAGTGAAATAAGTGTCCAATTACCTAAGTAATAATATAATTTAAGTAATTTAAACTTTTAATAAATAAAATAACATTAACATTTCATAACCATAACAGATATAACAAATAATAATATAGAATAAAATGAAAAAAAAATCATAAAAAATATAAATCAATAATAAATACCATCAAATTTCAAATTACTCAGTTACCTCTATCATTGTATTTTATCAAATTATCTCAGTTATTGAATTAAAAAGTTAATAACTGAAATAATATTGTAATTAATATAATTATTATATCATCTTAATTATAAACTTAAAAATGTAATAACTCAGATATTATAATAATTAATAAATTTATTTATTATATTATCTCAGTTATTTAATTAAATTATCATGTTATCTCAGTTATTATTATTTTTTAAAATTTAATAACTGAGATAATTAAGAAAATACCATTATAACATATTATTTTTACTTAGATTTCGTAAACCTATGTCAATTCTGATCCACCATACTTAACCTGCCAACATCTTAAACCGTCAATATATCGATGAAACGTGAGAATGACAAGACATAAATGCTTGTATACAACATTTATATGTTATAAATAAGTATTATCTGTTTCAGAACAGATTAATTTAAGTTTAAATTGCAAATGTACTATCGTTTAAAAAATAAATATTTATTTTTGCAAGATTTTTAACACTGAGAATTAAGTTTTGTTTACATATATGTCAAAATGTTTTTTCTGAAAAAAATGAATTGACTAAAATTGTTCTAATTTATATATCAAACACATCACAATATTTTGCTTTCTGGAATTTGAAAATTTAATCCTTTAGCTTTCAATTAGAGCTAAAATGAAAGCTTCAAGAAATAGTTTTTCATTTAGAAAAATTCGTTTAAAGTTTAGGTATATCGAATTATTGGAGGTACGTACACTATATCTATAACCAGTCCTTGATATTGATTTATCTTCCACAATACTGCAGCAAATGTTAAACAATATATATATATATATATATATATATATATATATATATATATATATGTTTCTTCTTTTAAGTAACGTATCCATCAATGTCATACCGACGCTATATCAACCGACCAAAATCTTCAAAATTCTCCCCTCCCGCCAATCACTCCGCAGCTTTTACTCCATTTTATTCACATCAAGATTCTCTTACATCCCCCCCGCCTTCTTCCCACCTGCTACCACCATCTAATTCAATAGCTTCATCATCGTCATCATCTTTCTCACCAGTATCTGTTTTCGTCCCCCGAGGGTGGGACTAATTAGTCTTGGTCGGTTAATTGAAGAGGGATTTTCTCTTCTTTTTTTTTAATTTTTGAGTTATTACTTTTTCAAAAAATAAAAATGAGGCAATTTCATTTTCCGCCTTTGATAGAATCGAGACACGTTTTCTTTCAACGCCATTTTCGTAATTACTAATCTTGTCAAAATATATTTTGCAATTAGAGCCTCTCAGATAACCCGTATGTAGGAAACGATAAATGATAACTTTTTTTTTCACCTAATAGAAATTAACACCACTACTTTCGTACATTCTTAGTTTGTTATTTCTTTAAATATGAAAAGCAACGAATAAAGGTTCTAAAAATTCATCCATTTATCCATCTACTCTCTTTCTATCTCCCATACATATTATATATATATATATATATATATATAAAGGATGCGATGTGGAAATTGTTGGCAATTTATATTTTTAATTTCGCGCATGCGCGGTGTTTGTTTTTGATTTTGTCGTTTGCACAGTATAGTTGGATCAGTTGGGCACTGTCTGTGAGAACAACAGCACCATAAAACAATTTACTCTGCCAGATATTTGGAAACGGCAGGCTGTTCTACATGCTATTCGCGCCGGAAGCTCTATACGAATATTTCTGAGTCGGAAAGATTTGGATGAGTTTAATGGTGATTACGAAGGTACGGTAGCCCAGAAAACCCACTCTCCATACTACACAAGCAGGAGAACCCAGTCATGGCTTTCAGAAAATTTCTGCGATCACACCACCCCTAACATCTGGCCATCTATCTCCCTAGACTTCATGATCCTTGATTATTTATTTGGCGCAGTTGAGCGAGACACCAACAAATCTCCTTGGAAAGATCAAAGATGAAGGCAAGGATTATGGAAGCAAGGACACCGCCCAGCAGAATTGCCGGAAATTTCAATGTCGTCTGAAGGTCGTGGTTGAAGCCACTGGCGATTTTATTGAATAAATTTACTCTTTAGTATTTCAAAATATTTTTGTGTAATTTTCGCAAATCTATTTGTTAAATTGTGTTGTTATATATATATATATAATTTTTTATTTAAAAATATGATTCCAACGCTACATAAGAGAAAACAAGAACATTGGATTATTTACCTAACGAGTTCTTTCCTATTTTCTATAAATTTTACACACACACACACACACACACACACACACACACACATATATATATATATATATATATATATATATATATATATATATATATATATATACGTTGTTTCACTCAACAGCTGACCAGCGTATTGGGATTGCGTATTTCTCGAGGATAATGCTTTTAAGGCAATTAGTAATTACAAATAAAATATCGAACATTAAAAAATAAAGGCTTAATATAAATTAAAGGAAATAATAAAATAAAGATAATATAAGAAAGTATTATTTTTATATTAGTTGTTTTCTCGCCCTCTCCTCTCTCTATTATGAACTGTATTCCTCTGTTCGTCTTGCCCTTCATCTGACCTGTTAGTATCAGATTTTCTAAGCCCTCCCTCCTCGTGATGTGATCCAGAAGCCTTAACTGTCTCTTCCTGATTTTAGGTATTAGTTTTCCTTTTTGTTTCGAAAACTTCGTCGTTGCCCACATGCTCATCTTTGATAAGATCGTCCAGCACTCACAGATATCACATAGAAGTTTAGTACACTTTACCTTGTTTCTAGCGATTATTTTTTCTATTTCTTAGTATTCTGTTTAGCATTTGAAATGCTTCCTTGGCTATGTCTTTGATAAGCGATCTGTATAAAGTATAAGTTATAGTTTCTTGAGAACCTTGATGAAATTCAAAGAAGGGTCTGTAATGTCATCGATCCTGATCTCGCATTTTGACATCAGTTAATTTCTCATCGTCGTGATGTGGATTCACTCTGACTCTTCTACAAAAACAATACGGCAACTGTGGTGAAGTTTTTTATTTAGTGCTTCGACTGCATGAATTTAAGTGCGCTACTAGATTGGTAACTAGGCCAAATTTACTGTTGAGCTAGCTTGATGAAACTGTCTCTTCCAGTCTAACAGTTTTTTTTTCTCGCACTTCTGGCCTGGAGAACTCCCTCCGATTTCTTGATTCCATGTCATTTATAATCTTCAACATTTAAATGCAACGTTAGTTGCAATTTTCTGTCTTCCTGATCCCTGTTCATTCATTGTCCTTTCCTCACTTCTCCTCACGAAAGTTCTCTCATTCTCTTTCACGACCTGTAACAACCGAGAGGCATTATCACCTTGCTTGGGGTGAAATGATTATAGATAAATAAATGATACATTAGATTAAGAACGTCTTTATTATTAAACATTTTAAAACATGGTATGCCATAGAATTCTTGTCATATTATGTACATACTGAACACATGTAATAATAAAGAACATTATTAAATATATCAAGCATTGTTAAAAGTTTCTCTGAAGAATTGAACATATAATTGTATTAAAGACAAATTAAAATAAATATATTGATACGAATTAATTATCCAGCTTTTAATTTATTAATCTACATTTTGGATAATGATTTTTTTAAAAATCATTTCCCCGCAAACAATACAATAATACTACTAAGACCAAAGGAGGACTACTGCGAGTGATAGAGAATGAGAAAAGATTAAGAGTAACCAGAAACATGAAAGGGACAAAACTCTACTTCATTTCAAAGACCGGGTAGGACTGTGAACAGACAAAACTATCTCCTCCTATCTGTATATTATAATGTTCATTTTCTATTATCAAATGCTGGTTTTTGTTCTTTCTAATTTGAATAAATCTGCCGACGTACTTAAAAGAACAATTTTCGTTCAACAGTGATAATAATGTTCAAGATTTAATAAAATATACATTATATATTTTACATAGATTCTTCGGAAGTCCGCAAATAAAAATATGTTTTATTCAAGTATCAGTAACACGGTATTTTTAATCGGAATCAAGGAACTTTAATTGATCAGTAGAATTGCGCTTCTGACCACTGAGGCTGACACAGCGAATTGGAACAAATTTCGAGTTGACGAAACTAAAAGAGACAGCGTTCGACTGAATGACGAGCAACTTAGCTTAAGATAGGACGATGTTGTTTCTTAAGCCATCAAGAAGACGAAAAGAAAGAACGACGCGTGAATATATTAAAGAAGAGACTTACAACGACAACAGGGTATTGAACCAGACCTACAGGTGCAGCAAGGTAATTGGAGATATTGAAGCTTAGAAACGGTCTATTGATTATCGATCAGACCGCTCCGAACTTCATATCGATCAACTAGCTTTTGCAAACGAGGCGGGAATCTTTGGCGGGAGAAAGAAAATGCCTGACGCCATGTTCTAATTAGTCGACTAGTCGAAAAGGATTTTGTGGTTTTCTTTCGTTTTTGCTTGTTGACGGAGATAGTTGCATGTCTAATGCCCTAAATATAAGACGTTTTCGAAAATTCGGCTACTTGTCAATAAAACTTAAAAATAAGTTAGTATAGATAACTAGAAAGTCTATCTATCTATCTATCTATCTATCTATCTATCTATCTATCTATCTATCTAGGTCTTGTCATGATCTATCTATCTATCTATCTATCTATCTATCTATCTATCTATCTATCTATCTAGGTCTTGTCATGATCTATCTATCTATCTATCTCGGTCTTGTCATGATCTATCTATCTATCTATCTATTTATCTATCTATTTCAGGCCGTTCATATCTAAATATCTTAGCCTGTTCATTTCTATTTTAACTTGCTCGTATTTATCTATCTATCTATCTATCTATCTATCTATCTATCTATCTATCTATCTATCTGCGTGTCTTTTTCAATCTCTTTATATCTTAATCTATATATTTCAATCTGTCTATGAATAAACCATTGTGGTAACGGTATAATGGTTCCATCTCACCTGAGCTGGACATGAAAGTTTTGATCAATGTGAATACATTCTGTTATAGATGGAAAATGTGTTTCAGGTTCAAAGACTATTCTATAAATTAGAATATAATCTTTTTTTAACTTCAAAACCGTTAAGACAACACTTATTCTTGCAAATGAGTGAAATTCTTTATCGTATCAGCTGAAATAAAATCATGTAATTCATCAGATTGGAACAGTCGTTGTTTTCGCGGCTTTCTGAATTCTGAATTCCCTTGTATTCGGCAAAAGAGGCGGTTTTCTTATTTTTCCTAAATGTATTTTAGATATTAGGTGTAAATTCCAATTCAGTTTGATTCGTTTACTTTTCAAAATAAATTTATCTTCAAAATGTTTCATACAGAGGACTGATTTTTTCGAAGGAAACCAATCAATACGATTAACGAATTCTATCCATTTTTCTAAAAGGCCGGATTTTAAAAGAGGAAAAGAGAATGTCGATACTTTTTCACTGTTAGTAACATATCAACTAGATCAACCAAATGCAACAAATTTGTTAACCATTTTTGTGAAACAAAATATCACAGCTGAGTTTATAATTTAATATTTAAATGGAATAGATTATGAGTTAGAAAATTAAACTAATAGTGTTCATTTGCAAAACGGGCCGTCTACGCAATTGATAATCATTAAAACGAGGTTACTCAGAGCCGTGTATAATTCATGGATTAGTAAAAATAAAAAGGTGTAAATATGAATGTTAGTGTTGAAAACACGTCTATGGAATTTTAATAAAATCTGATAAATTCTACGTAATTGTACATTGTTAATTTACATTCACATTTTTTTGCTCATATTATATAGGGCTGTCAGCTTATGTGAAATGTGGAGCCGTATAGTACTAGTTGCCATGCTAGAATAAAGGCAAATTGAAACAAGCACATCTCTGTTGTAATGCAATAGATGTGACAGTGTTTGGCCCAGATTTGCTACATAATGCATGCCAGTTATTTTCATGACATAGCAGAGCAGATAGGTCGTAATAATAATTTTACTTAAACCAGTCATAATTTTTCAAATACATCATTGGCTGATTGAGACAGTGGAAACACACTACTGATTGAGACAGTGATTAACACACTACTCTCTTCTAAGATGGCGTCAATTTCTTGAAGAAACAGAAATGGTCTGGTGATTGCATAGTCAAGATTTCTCTAATATGCCAAATTTCCGGGCACAATGTGTTTCCAAGGATGTTTGTATCTTCTCCAGTGCAATGATGATATCATGTCATATCCCTGCTTCTGATATTAACCAATTATTACTTCAATAAAAATTACGCCTATTTGTAGCAGTTGGAATACAACGCTTTACAGAAAATAAAAATTAGGGAATAGCAGTTTTTAAATTATTTACGGATTCTTATGTTCATGTCACTTTGAGACTATGAATTCTATTTTATATATAATTTTCAAAATGCCCTAAACCTTCAGCAAGATCATGGTCCTCTACAAATTCCTTTTATTTATTATCTGGGAATTAACATGCCTCATCGAGAAATATTGTGAAGTGGTTTCTTATTGTTGGTCTTGAATTCAGAATTTTCGTCTTCTAGGTTCGTTTAGTCCGGAAATTGAACTTGCTTTGAATATTCTATTTTCTTCGATGGTCACTGTTTCATTACCCGCATGCGGAATTACATTTTGTTTACTTGCTTCCCTGGTTAGTACAATCGTCAAATTTATATGTAACGTCAATCGTGATCTTCTATCTTCTTGAACACTGTTCATCTTTTGTCCTTTCCTCAAACCACGCTGTAGTCAGTCTTTTCTATCACTTTCACTCCCTATAAACCTCTACGTTCTAGTAATATTTCCTCCTTGCTTGGGGTGAAATGTTAAAAAAATCCGCTATATTTGGACCAACTTGGATCATGATCATTAACGGAGGAAAATATCCAGAAACCTTTCAGGAAAACTAACTTTTTATTTGAACGGAATCTGATCACATATGCAAGGAGAAGATATAAATAATGTGAATATTCAAAAACTGGCAGTAAACGTTTATAAAGTCCTTAAATTTAGGTATCGCAATGAACATTCTGAGTCTTGATCGGACAGTTGATCTCCGTTCTCTAAAATTGTCACTAGAACGTTACGTTCAACCAATTGTCAGTTCTATTCAATTGTATAAATCTTAAATAAAGCGAAATATCTATAATTTCTTTATGATGTTTAATTTTTTATAGCTTTTCGAACTAAAAAAAAGGAAGCTTGCTAAATGATTCAACCGAAACCCTGTGATAATAAACACCAAAACCACGGAGAAAAGTGCCCGCAGTTAGACGGAGTGTCAAAAGGACGTTTTTTCCCATGACTGTCTTTTTTAGCTGTCTTCAGCAATGTTTATTCTTTTAAAAAACGATGATTAGAATTAGAATAAAAATTAAATATTTGATAAAAATGAATTCATAAATTTCTTGTTCTTGACAATTTACGGTAAAAATATTAAACGCTATTTACTGGATAGTTTATTCAGAAGAATAAATTTATTTTTAGAACATTCTAAAATCTATTACAATTAAAACTAAAAGTAATGCAATATTTAAAATTTATCATTTGTAAAGAAATAAATATGAACATTTTTATTCATAAATTTAACAAATAACTAAAATATGTTAACTATTAAGATATTTTATTTACCATTTAATAACGTTTGAATCAATTTGCAATTAACCAATGTTTTGCCAACAATTCCAATAAGTAATATAATAAATAGTGTTAATAAACATTCTAATAAAACAGGGTATATTGTTTTGTTGTCAGTTCTCAAGAAAATGTATAAATTCACTTGCCAAACAATGAACGTAGTTAAAAAAAAACGGTGTCAATGTGGTTTAAAAAACGGCTTTTTGAAACACCATCTTATTGCGGGCACGTTTATCCATGTTTACCTAACTTTTATATCACAAACAAAATACGCGGTAAATCAGTCATGATGAAAGAAGACAAATGGAAATATAGCAAAGAGGAATATTTTTCCACATTATCTGCCATGAGACCTTTGGAAAAATCAAAACCCTTTTTTTTAATTCTTAAAGTAATATGTGTAAATAACTTTAATTTTTCTTTAGTTTAAAAAAAAATCATAACTTTCAATTTTAAACTGATGAACTAATCTGAAATGTTTGTGCGACCGCAAAATCCATTGTTGTTAAACGAATAGAAGCGTTTCAGTAATTCATTGAATTTGAAATTCTGGAATCAGGTTTTAACATTAGTAAGGCTGGGGCTAATGAATAAAGACAAAAGGAACACTTATCTTAACCAACGCTATTCGTTCTCTGGCTGACTTTATCAAGGCAAATGTAAGGATTTTATTTTGGAATAGGTAATCATATACAGGAGGTTTTTCAAAATTTTAAAATTTAAGCGCACTGATAAATATTCATGAGTCTAGGTAAATTATGGAGTATACTAAATAACACGGCTCAATGTCTAATAAACGGAAGTGAGTAAATGTTGTTCTTGAATTTATTTTTTTTACTATTAATGCAAATTAGTACTTAAATTATTTTAGTTTCGGATTAAAATATGTCTCATATATTTTAAATAACATGAAGTTATGGATGTAACCGATTTCTTTTAATTACTTAGCATTTTTTAGTGTGTCAATTACTCTCTCGAGTAGTTTGTAACACCCTATTTATCATCTCTGAGTGTAGAGTGCGCTTAGGGGCGGGTCCGTCAAAGGGCAGTGTCGCAACTGAGGAAAATTATACTGAGACGTGCCCAGCCCTGGGGAACAGCTGCCTGAGGTCGAGCCCTCTCATTTCATCAGAGAAAGGGATCGGTGCTCGCACCGACGCCAGCGCAACTGTCGGTTGCGTGGGCTGCGGTTTTTGTTCCTAGCTCGGGTGCACGCGCTCGGGCTCCCCGTATTAAACCGACCTTGTGTCACAACCTGACCTCATGATGGGTTGAATAAATACAAATTACTTAGCATTTTTATATTCATGTATGTTGGCATGGGAAAGTAGTAATTTATGTCAGAAATGGAGATATTTGACAAAAAAATCCGGGGTGTATATTAGTGGTAACCTTCGCCCTTTTGTTGTTGTTGTTATTACATCAGCTGCTATGCTCTCCAAACTTCTTCGGATGTGTTGGTCCAGGTAAACTTCAGGGAATTTTGAACAGAATCATTTGTATAATTTACAGGGTTAGACTGTTCTCGTTCTACTGTTCATTGTTCAGTTGATCTCCGTGTTTCCACTGAGTCTGAGCCTATGCAAATCGGCTCAGGGATTGAACTCGGAAATACTATGAGAATTGCGTACCTACATGATATATTGAAGGGAATAGCAAAAGAGGGAAACATCAAGCAAACTACCAAACAAGCTTGTGTAAATGGACAGCAGATCAGGAAGTAGAAGGAAGGGTAAAAAAACAAATATTTTTGTGAGGTATATAGATAGAAAAACGTTCAGAGCTATGATCGCGCACGTTCTAAAGGGACAGGATAAATAGCAAAGGACAAAAAAAAAAAAAAAAAAAACAATGGTTGGCGCTAAAAGCTGCTGTGGTAGTAAGTGTGATTGAGTTTGAAAACATGCTGACTCTTCAATAACGTTCTGATAATATTCGTCTAATCCTACATCAGCCACTTTTTCCTTTTATTATGATTGAAAAAGATTCGTTCTATTTTTATTCGTTTACCTACTAAAAGCTGATTACCGTTTTCTTTCAGTCGGCATCGTTACATTCTAGCAACGACTAGATCTGGAACAACACGAAAATAAATATTTTTTTGTTAAAATAACAACTCCAGCATCTCTAGATTTACCCGCCAAAATGTCAAAGACAAGAGGCGTCAATAGAAAACTAAATAGGAAGCAGTTTAAGCGCCGTTTACTATATAGATATGTGCTTTCAAATT